ATCTTCCCTCTGTTTTGTTGTCTAGGAACGATTCAGGGCTCAATTACGACGCTCATCAAAATTACTCATCATTTTTTGGGAATATTCATGCTAGGAAAGGAATTACATTTTTTGTTTAAAACTGATATCATGGAGTTCAGTGATGACTTGTATATCAGGTTCTTAAAAGTGGAAACATTTGAGCAGTTCAAAGTCATAGAGAATGCGAGGAGGCATTGTTAAGTTTTCAGGGGAACTTTATCCACTGTGTCGTCAATGATTTACCTCCACAGAATCACATTTAATCCTGTTAGGAAGAGAAAGATTCGTTTCCAACATATCTTTCTGATACTATTGTTGAGTGCTCTCTCTACTAACCTTTGTGTTAGTGTGTGTGTGTTCACCTAGTTTTGCTTGCGGTTGACCTCTTCCCATTCGGCCCGCCTCTTAACTGTCAGTCAATCAATTGATTTTTTTTTCTTTCACACACACACACACACACACACATACACACACACACACCACACACACACACACACACACACACACACTCACACACACACACACACACACACACACACACACACACACACACCAAGGAAGCAGCCCGTAACAGCTGTCTAACTCCCAGGTAACCTATTTACTGCTAAGTAACATGAGCATCTGGGTGAAAGAAACTCTGCCCATTCGTTTCCGCCATCGCCGACGATCGAACCCGGTCCCCAGGATTACAAGTCCCAAGCGTTGTCCACTCAGCCACTGGCCCTGTATGTGTGTGTGTGTGTGTGTAGAGGAAGGGAGGCAGTTGTGCTTAATTAAATGTACTTGCGTATAGTCCTGTCTGCCCCCCCCCTCTCTCTCTCTCTCTCTCTCTCTCTCTCTCTCTCTCTCTCTCTCTCTCTCTCTCTCTCTCTCTCTCTCTCTCTCTCTCTCTCTCTCTCTCTCTCCATCTATGCTAATCATTCACTGCAATGCAGCAATCCTTAACAAGTCCCAAATGTCATCATACTGCTGAGAGAAAGAGAGAGAAAGAGAGAGAGAGAGAGAGAGAGAGAGAGAGAGAAGAGAGAGAGAGAGAGAGAGAGAGAGAGAGAGAGAGAGAGAGAATAAGCCACTCTCTCTAAATTAAACAGTTCCCTCTCTCTCTCTCTCTCTCTCTCTCTCTCTCTCTCTCTATCACAGTTGCTAATGAGTCCGGTTCGACCTTAACTACTGAACGACCCAGTATAAAGCATTAACGAAGGACTCCTTACAGCCGTAACTACAGTACGAGGCTTCGGAGAACCTTAGGATAAAATAACTCCAAAACAACATATCGACCTAATGACGTTATAAACGTTGAACAGAACCCATGAATATGTATTACAAAAATGCTGCTTTCTAAGGTACTGAATAGCGTAATTGGGATTAACTATTAATGTGGTATTCGAACCGATGTGAAAAGAGGGGGAAAGGGATGGTTAGAAAATGCTATCATCAGTCTTGATTGTGAAGGGACAAGCCGTCCCTCACCCCCTTATCACTGTCCATTTTCCTGGTCGACCCTTGGTTAACGAGCGATATCACACTGGAGGGTTAATAGCCCGACAGGCAGTTAGCAGTCGGTTAACAGGCGGTAGAGCTAGTTTACTGATATTTAATTAGCTGGGATGAGGTGATTTGGTGGGAGATGGTTCCTGCAGCTTGTCTTTTCTTCATTTCCTGAATCGAGGTGTTTTTTTTTTGCTTGCTTACACACACACACACACATACACACACACACACATACACACACACACACACACACACACATACACACACACACACACACACAACACACACACCACACACACACACACACACACACACACACACACACACACACACACACCGCCTCGGTTGAGAGGCGGGACCAAAGAGCCAGAGCTCAACCCCCGCAAACACAACTAGGTGAGTACAACTAGGTGAGTACATACACTCACTGGAACCCGATATAATTCAGTTTAAATTAGATTTAATGCCAAGAGTTTGAAGTCTGATCCTGTACTTCAGTGACCTCCAGTACTCCAGTTACAATGTAACTGTTAGCATTACGCTATATTCCATTGTAGCAGTGAGTGAGAAAAGAGGAAGAAGTGAGAAGAAAGAGAAAAAGGGGGAGTAAGAGAGAGAGAGAAAGAGGGAAAGGAAGAGGGAGAGGAAGAGACAAAAAAAGTGGATATGATAAAAACAAATAATGATTTTAATGATTCGTGAAAACTAGCCATGTCTGAGCCATAGAGATGTGTGTGTGAGCCACAGAAGGTGAACAGCGATTGTGACTTGAGGATGCAGACCACTGTGCTACGGAATCCATGTAAAGGCATAAAGGCGTTAAACAAATAGAACGAAATACAATGTAAAAATAATAGCGATCGTAAGTTGTTCTACTCTGTCCTTGTACCGTCCAGTAGTCTCGCTTATATGCGGGTCGGCGTTCAATCCCCGACGGTCACAGTTGCTGGACAGCATTCCATTCCTCCGTCCTATCCTAAATACTATTTAGTCTTCGTGGCTTAGCGCTTTCTCTTAATAATTACCTTACCTTGTGAGAGTTAAGCCCAACCACTTGGGCTGGACGGTAGAGCTACGGTAGAGCTTCCTGCAGGTCGGCGTTCAATCCTCGACCATCCAAGTGCTATATAGTCGTAATGACATGTCGTTTTCCCCTAATAATTCCCTCCCCTCTTGATAATTACCTCTCTAATCTCCTGATATCTTATATCAGTCTCCTGGTATATCTTATCTTACTCCTAGACATACCTCACCTGCTGATAATTACATACTTCTTACTTATCTACTTCCTTAAGGAGGATATCCTTCTTTACTTCCTTACTTATTTCTTAGGAGATAAGATTACTTATCACCTAATAATCACCTTATCTTGCTCTAAGATAACTAATAAACGTGTAAACACCATATACTCTTAACAGCTGTCGCTCCTTATATGCGTTGATATATGATATACCACAAGGAACGTGTGTGTGTGTGGCCCCGAGCTACTTAAGACAGACACCGGCACTGATGTTAACTACCCGGCCACACACAAGGTGCTAATTGCTCTCCCCATGCCTCTGTTTGATGATTTCTTCCTTCGAGACGCCGGTGAAGGAAATATCTCGTATGCAAATGAGGAGGATTAACACAGCGAGCTCTGT